ATTAATTAGTGAAATGTTTCGGTAGCTGTAACATCTTCTATATGCATTTTATTTCTGATTTCTTATTTCTTCAGTTTTATTCATTGGTATCCAATTTATTACTATTTTTGCTGTGCCTAGAACAACTTTTAAGTAATTGTAGCTATTTAATGTGTCTGCATTTAAAAAATACTCATTAGCTTTTCCTTAGAGTAAAAGGTTCCTCAAGTGCATTCTGTTTCGCATTGGCTATCACGACTCTCTAATCTGGAATCCTTTTCAAGGCCTTCAGTTTCTGATTTTTAAGCATAGTACAGTTACAGGAATTAATAATTGGAGAATGGAAGACTTCTGGAGGAAAGATGATTTTCCTTTAGGTCTTCTGCTAAAAAGTCATCTTCAATGCAGTGTTGGTGCAAGCCATATTTTCTGTGTTTACATGTTTCTTGCTGCTACTCATGCCCTTGGCTTTCAATGCACACCATTCTTTTAATGCTTTTTTTCCTTTTTCATCTTTTGTTTTCACATACATGCATTTCCACTCATACTTCATTACTACCATTGTTAATATTACAGTGGCAAAATTTTGCATGATTGTAACGACTTTTATATGCTTTGCTTAACAGGAAACTGAAATTTTAACTTGGTTTGGGTTTTTGAGAATGTATATGGGATTCAGATACAGGGCAGTAAAGAAATGCTAAATTGCTTTAAGCTGGTCAAAACACTGGCATTATTAATCCTCAAATTTATCAGTACTTACAGGTGCATATAAAGGTAATTTCAACAGTATTGTAATACCCTGTAGAACAATTATGAATTTTGAATCACGGCGCTCCCCTGGGTTAGATGACCATTAAGAGATGTGGCCATAAGCCATCTGCATGATGAATATGTGTATAAATATAAGAAGAATTAAGTGGCCTCCTTAAACAAACTGCTAGTTAACAAGACTGTTTAACAAAGGAAATTCTCCCACTTTATGAAAACGTATATGTGAATAATAATACATAGAATTTCTTAATAATCATTCTTACTCATTGCTGTCATGTTAACACATTTAATACGATTTGTATAATTATTTATAGCATTATTAAAATGGTGTGATACTGTATAGAGATACAATAGATAAACTACGTATGTCTATATATCTCGATATCAACAAGTGGGAGATTTTCCATCATTAATTATGTTCAGTGTCTATATTGGTTATCAGAATGATGCCTAGAGTGCCTAGAACAAGTAAGTGGGTGCCATTGTTGGCACCATCTCAGGAGAACACTGAAGTATGCAGTTATAGTTGATTATAAATGCCATTAAAGGCAGAGATTGCCATAACTAAATATTCTGTAAACATATTTAACATATTTCATTGCTGTTTATTGTATTTTGATTTCATAGATCACAGGTGGTGTTTTTTTCTCTTGCAGAGTATTAGCTTGCTTTTGTGTGCAACATCGAGTGAACTGCTTTATCGCTATGAAAGGCCACTTAATGTGCAGCATGAAGTTTGTGCTGTAAAGTACAGCCAACACTAGGAGTTGCCAATAGGTGGCATTTTCACACTCTCATAAATTCTACATATAACAAGAAATAGTTCACATTCACAGTGAACTACATGAAGGGCTGTTTTCAGGAATCCAGTTATAACTGGCTGCTCTCATGGAGCCTCTTGTGAACTACATTTTGTCATCCACTTAGTAAAATAATTCTGTTGTATTAGGCAGGCACTCCAGTACTGGTATCTATCCTCCTGTAAGCCCAAACCAGGCAGTCAATTTCTGCTTGGTGGTAGTATATATAATGGTCTAATTTTTTTTGAGTTCTTAGAGTTGTTGGAGCAAACCTCGTTTCCTGGTAGATGTTGTGAGCCATTAACTAGATTAACAGGTAGCCATTCAGAATACAATGGAAATTTTACTTATAAGAGAAAGCATTGCTTACTGTAATGTACTCATCTAGTTTTGTATCAGTTGTTTCATAGGTTAATTGGTCTGTTTATTTTGGTTTGATAAACATCTATTATATTGGAAATAGTGCTCTGACATTATGTGCTGCAAATAGTGAATTAGGGTTTTTTATATTTAAACTTACTTTAAGAAGCACATATGGATATTACAAAGCCACAGTTCTACACTGAAGAGTTTGTAGTGAAATCCTCTTAATTCAGCTTTTAAGGTATTCATGGGGGTGCTATGGTAGCTGGAACACTGACCACAGTAAAAGCTGGAATTTACTTAAGAATAATTCTGTGCATTTAAGAGTAATTCTGTTAGTTAACTAAGTACGTTACTATCACAATGATGAGGAGAATCACAAAACTGGTCAGGTTGGAAGGGACTACAGTGGGTCATCTGGTCCAGCCTCCCTGTTCAAGCAGGGCTATCCTAGAGCAGGTGGCTCAGGATTGCATCCAGAATGGTTCTTGAGTATCTCCAGTGAGGGAGAATCTACCACTTCTGAGCAGTCTGTTCTAGTGCACTGTCACTCCACAGTGACTCGCAGATTTAGCCTAAAACTACACGTCTTGTACAGAGTGAGGTGCATCTCATTCAGCTCTTTTATTTTGTCTGCAACTAACAGTGTTTTCAAATGAATATTGAACAGAATATTTAAAAGACATTTTGTCATCTCTGTGCAAGGACAGATACAAGAAAACAGAACAACTAATGAAAGCATACCTTTGCTGACTTTTTTTTACTGTTGAAATTCTGAGATAGATTAAGGTAAATTTATTGTATTTTAGCGATAGGCATCAAGTATAGTTTATGCAGTTCAAGGTGTAAGTATGCTGGTGTTGCTCAAAGCTCTAGAATTTCCTGCAGTACATGCCACACACTGAAATTTAGCAAGTCTAAATCACTTCCTGGTGGTATTTGATTGCATTGGAAAGTTACAGGTTTGTGCACTGAGAGTTTGGCATATTCTGATGTAAGGAACTGAGCAGCTTTTAATCCTGTTCAGTAATGAATGGATGAAAATTAGGATCTTGATCTGATTGCATGAACATATTGGCAGCAAATTAATAACAGGAAATGTTTTAACATTAATTCATTGATATGTTTTTTAGCTTTTCTTTTGATAACTTATTTTTAGTATCTTATTGTTTGCAAACAGATTTTTTACTGTTGATTGTGGAGAGCAGTACAAAGAATTTAGACAAATTGTTAGGAATATGAATTTAGACTTACACTGGTGTTGTTACAGCACTTTTTGTAGAGAAGGGTTTTTTCAGGTAGAGTTTGTTGGGCTTTTTTTTCAGAATATCAAACCGAGCTTATCTGTCTTTTCAGTTCTTCAATAAGTGGTTAGGAATTCTCAATCTTCATTGTTAGAACATATGTTGGAGAATATGTTTTTTTGTAAGCTTCCTTGATTTACTGTGCTCATTCAAGATGCCACAGTTTGTCAAGACAAGGTGACTTCACATTCATAAAGGCATAGAATCATACTTACAAATTCAATGGTGATTCCTATGTACAGAACAGTGAGTTCTCAGTATATAAATAAATTAATTTTCATTAGCTTGTTGTATGTTTTGAAGGGGGAAATTGCTTAAAAGTATTGTTAACTGTCTGCTCTAACCAGAATAATTCTGTTTATATGTCTAAGAAATGACACATATTTCATAGGAGTTTTTATCTTACTTCCCTCTGGCAATACCTACTTTTTTCCAGGTATCGGATTATGTCAGTAGCATCTCAAATTAAAGAAAAGGTGATTATTTCCCAGCCCAGTTTGCAGTAGTCATCTGTACTTTTGGGATTTCTTTAGAGTTTAAAATTCAGTATCCCAAGATTCACTCATGTCAGACTTTGGAGATGGAATGTATGTACCCATATTTTGAAAAACAGAGGATATTACAAATTGTCTTTAGAGTGAAGGGCGTCCAGTCACCTCTTGATTTCCTGTCTGTGTGCTACCCAGCCCAGGCAAATCCAACTTAATGTTTGAAGGGCATTAGAGTTACACTTCGTTATATCAGGCTTTTTCCTTCAATATTCTCTTATCTTATTTCTTATGGTATGAAATACAAATAGAAATGGCCTCCTAAGAAAATATCCCATATGGAACTTTTAATATGTACTATAATTTCACATTGGTAAGAAAGACAGTATATGAAATTGTGTACCAGTGCATGATTTGCAAGAGAGAATCACTATAGTCTATTCAGTGAATGAAAAGAAAGAAATGCTGTAGCAATGGCTGGCTGCATGCTATCTAATAAGTAGTGTGATGTGGAAAGCTCTTCTAGGATTTTTTGTCTTTGCCTGGATCAATAAAATATATTTTAGAAAAATCTTTATAATACAGTTATATCACTCAGAACATGACTTTGCAGTGTTTGTATATCTCTCCAGCTTATCTTTGTCCTAAATCAATTTCTCAGAAAGTTTTTTTGCTAACACATTTTCCTTTTTTAACTCCTCATTCTCCTCAGACAACAGGACAGCAACTTTGATCCTTCAAGGCAGAAGACTGACTGTAAAATCACAGTAATAACTGTTTGCCTCCCACTATCAGTGTCAAATATTCAGTTAACGTTACCCAAGTAAAACACTTTGTTACCCCTCCAAACACATCAATGTAGAATTTGAGGAACATTGCTGCAAATGATCAATTAAAAATTAATTACTCTTGTGTAACTAGTAGGACCTAACCTCTTGATTCACTGTTTTTATAAACCCTTACAGCAACCATTCTGTGATTAGAAAAGTATATTTGTCAAAAATTATCAATTGTTTTTGTCAACAATTTTTATGTGAGTCTGTATTTAATGTACACTGGTGAAGCCTTTGGGTATATCAAAAACATGCTGTGCAGTTTTCACTTTTAAGCACCTAATATTTAAGAGAAAATGCATTTTGAAAGGTGAGTTCCTTTTTCCTGGGCTAACCTCAAACTGGTGGGATGAGAACAACAGCGAATAGCTGTATTTTGTTCAGTCTTGCACACTAATGAGAGATAAATGTCAGTATCCTGTCAGTCATGTCTTACTATCCATCTGTCTGTTTTTCTAGGAGGTGATTTCCTGTCATTTTTAAGAAAAAAGAAGGATGAGCTAAAAACCAAGCAGTTGGTGAAATTTTCATTAGATGCTGCCTCTGGTATGGCATATCTTGAATCTAAAAATTGTATACATAGGTAAGGAAGATTTTTTTTCTCACTATTATACCTTTGCTCAGTGGGAATGCAAGGTGTTTCTGTATGGTGCTTATTATCACAGGATTAAGCCCTACAATTAAAAAAAAAGTATACTTTTTTTTGAAAGGAGATAATTATTGCTTGTCTAATCCAAAACTGTTCTGTTCATTTGGGTTAAAATATGTACTACATTATTTGATCTATATAGTTGTTTCTGTTAATATAAGATAAACAATATTTTTTCACCATAATGATTTGCATTGTAAGGAGCATAATTTATACAGTGACAATGAAGCAACCTGTGAGGCTTATATCCTATCTGAAATTTACAGATACTTGCCTGGCCAACAAGGTTAAGTTATGTTTGAAATGTGTTTCAGAGAAAATCTACTGGTTTCTCAGATAATAAAGAGAGAAAAACTAAAGACCTGTATATTAAAATATAAATTGCCTGGGGTGCTTTCTTTAAAATACAGATGATTATCAGATATTTTTATCTTGGAAAATCTTATTTCTGTTTCTACCATTCCTTTTCCTTGTTTTTTCCTCCAGTTTGACTCTGCCATGGCACTGCTTATACTCAGTTTGTATCAAATGGAATGTATTTGATTTCTGTTACATTTTTATCTCAGTATATACCCTGCTCAGTGCTATTGCTAAAATATGAGACATAGGCATGATGACACTGCTCTTTGCAGAAAGATTATGAAGAAAAAGTTTTCATTTGTAATATGGATGACTTCTGCTTTGTAGAGCATTTGTAGATGAACTGTGTGCCACTTCAGTTACATAACCAGTCCATTTCATATTTAACACTATTCTGGTGAATGCTGTTATTGGAGACCAGAGTGGCATTTCTCTTAGGTTTTTATCAACAGTGAATTGGTCAGTCGCAGTCACACAGGTCAGGTTAATTGAAACAATTCTGTGAGATTATGATGTATAAGAAACACCAAGAGAGGAAAAAACTAACTATACACATATAAAATGATGGAATATTACTTTAGGGAAATCCCAGAAAAGTATTGTAAGCATTCTATCATGGTAGAATGAGTTTCAGCCTGACTCTGTTTGTCAAGAAACTAATGTCATAAAGATCAGAGCAAGTAACACCATTAGTGATTTTACACTAGCCTCATAAATGCTCTAATGCTTAATGATTTCATAACTGTCAGATCAGTGTTAAATGTGAATTGCCTATTTAGAGCTCCTGTGTTCTTAGAAAATTAAACCAGAGGGAAAAGTAGTAGCTGAATAACTGAAGTTCATAATTGCAATTACTGAAAAAATAATGCAATATTTATTCAGTAAATGATAGTGTGGTGCCTGCAAAATTTAAATAGTTTAGAAATAATTGATTTGGTAGAGGTGCTCTGCCCAACTCCCCCTCTTTTATTTTTTTTTTTTTTTAACTCTGGGAGAAGGGTGTCCTTGCATATCCGCATGGAATAGTATTGTTCTGATTGTTACAGATGACAATATGGCTTTAGCTTATCTCTGAAATGTGCACTTGCAGTTGGTTAGCAGTGAATATGAACAGCTATTCTCAAGATGTATTTACAAAGCTCATAGTGATTCAGAGAATGTATTTCATAGAGATGTATGCAGTGTTGTCTTACCATATGAAGATTTCATTGTTCCATTGTTTTCATCTAAAAAGCTAAATTCAGATGTGTCATGTAGATCTTAAATGAGGAAAAAGAGCTGTAATGTGACCTGTTTTGCTAGTGCTGTAGACTTGCTAATGCATACAGCCTGGATTACACATATTATATATAGTAGAAGGAGGGAAGAAGTTCTTTCACCCTGTTTACTTTTGAGGTTTCAAAATATTTGCAAAATTTGGTTATTTTCACAGATTGTCCCTGGAGGTTATCAGAGAGCTAGCACTTTCCTTAAAGGCAGAACCAAAATTTAGGTAAACCTATCCTGAATAAGATTAAAGTGCAACCAAGCAAGCAAACAGTGCGGTCGGGTAAACTGCTTACTTTTATGGAACACGCAGGTTAATAAATCAAAATGTGAATTCCCAGCATTAGTTTAAGAGTCTTGTATTCTGTAGTATTCAAAGTTCTTTTTTGGTTTTATGTGGTTAGCCATCACATGTGCTTATTTTATTTATGAACTAATTCTTCTCAATTTAATAGGTAAACGCAATGGAAATTTATGAATCAGGGCAACATAGTGATTTTAGCAGTACTGATAGAAGAGCTCACCGGTGGGGTGTACTTACTATAGGAAAGCAGCTCATGAAATTTTAAAATGTCCTTGACCAATGGCTAAACCACATTTTATTAGGTTTAGCATACATAAAATTTTGCTAGGTATGTACCCTGTTTGAGGAGTTGGGGCACTAATGCAGGATTTGTGGACACCTTGGGGGATGGCTGGAGATACGTTTGTGTAGAACCTGTCTGCCACAGAAGCACACAGTATCAGTTCCTTCCTGGGTCCTTTAAACCTGTTGCACAATAGTAGGATTCTTGCACTCTAGGTGCTGTACTGCAAATAGACTCGATGAGGGAATGAGGGGTTAGCAGGGAAAAGTCAGAACTGTGCAGTGCTTTGTAAGCAAGCTCTGAGCATTTGGAACCCCACTGGAGTTTGGGCCACTACTTACACAAGCTCTGAAGCTGCAGCTATGTGGCTGCATGGTTTGTTCCAGTAATCTGAGAGTCCTTGTTTGCTCCTCTTTAGGTCAGGTAAGACAAATGAGTCATGGGTAAATTTAGTGTTGAAAGCAGATAGATCAGAGCGGAATAATTTTAATTCATAGTAGGAAAAAGAATTAGCACTATGTAAAAAGAATGGGGATTTTTTTAAAAAGAACATTAAACTTGTTCTTTTTTGTAAGAAGGTTAATCTACTGAAAGTGGTTATCAGCTATAAAAGAAAATTAACTAGAGAGAAAATGGACTGAGCAGTGGATTCTTTTGTTTTGTTATAAGGTCCATAGGCTTTGTTCACTACTACTTAAAGATCAGCAAGGTATTACTAGAAACACCTTCTATTATGTAGGTTGCAGCAAAAACTATTGTTTTACTTCATGCTGTTGTCTTTCTTCAGTATTTATTTGGTTGTTGATGTAAGATTTGTTCAGAATCCCCACATAATATTTTAGTAGCTGAAGTGATTTTAATTTTGTACCATGCACATTTGAGTACCTGCTAGTGTGAAACTAAAGGCTGCTGATCAGTTTCTTTAAGTTATTTTTAATGCCACTTTTTACCTGTAACTGTACTAGCTGTACTTAGCCCTTATATTTGAAAATTCTGTCCAAATCTATACTGGCTTTCTGAAATTGCTGTTGAGTTACAATTTGACTTAGCCTTTCACTACTTGGGAGAGTGCAACAACTAATGTGCTGTTTGGTTTTTATTTTTTGTGTATTATGCTGTTTCAGTAGATGCAAATGCAGCATCAAAATTTGACACAGTCAGAATGCTTAATGCATGTGAGTAATTATCAAGTGATTATTTGATCTACATTTTCATCTCCTCTAGCATCCAGATATCAGTTGCTCTTTGCTCTGTCTCTGTTTAAGGAACAGAAATTATTTCTCTTAATGGAAAAAAAACCTGCATGAAAAGATGTTATTAAAAATAGTGATTGAATATACACAGAAGAATGTAGTAATTTCATCTCCATTTAATTAATATGAGGTTGAAGAATTGTTTCTTGCATTTCACTTTTACCATATACTATTGTTTAGATCATTCCATTTTTCTGTTAATTAGAAACAGAAGATGAGAATGGACATGTGATAGTTTTGGTTGGTTTAATAAGCATTTGTGAGGGGCCTTCTTTTCTAGTATTTGATTTGTATGTGATGAATTAATTTGTCTATAATTTATGTTTAGTTTCCAAACCAGTCTTGTGGGAGTATAGGAGAGAAGCTGCAACTACCCTTTTCACAGAATCTGGGTACACCTTTGTTTGATGTATTTTCCCTTTTTTACTGCCATCATTTTGTAATGAAAATACTTCAAATTATGATAGAACTCAATTGTTGAGTTATTTGCAATATATGCACCATGTTTGTGAGAAGGTAGGGACTAACTGTATCCAAGGTCAGGTTTTCCTTTCAGTCAATGTATTTATGTTCTGGAATGTCCCATATTCTGCATTAAAGATGAGTTGATTGGTAAGATGATCATGTTCTGTGGTTCAGTTCTTCCATTTTTAGTCATGTTATACAACTGCTTCTTTTTGCCTTAGTTCTGTAGCTGTTGAAAACCCTGCATTAAATTAAAAGTGCCTGGTTTACCTTCATGTCATGACTTTGGATATTAGTTCAGGATTTCTTTTCATTAGATATGTATCATATATAAAGTACTAGGAAAATAGTTGCTTTCGTGTTACTAATTTAGTTTACCTGATCTGGTCTGCCTATAGAACATTTTTTCCATGTAAGTCTGGTAAGTGCTAATGTATAGAATTTTGGAAAAAGGTGTCAGAACCCTTTCACAACCATGAATTTAAGAACTATACTAGATAGTTCGGTTTGTCTTTCATTCCCTATTATCCTCCCATTTCTTCCTGGAACAATAGTTCAGTTACCACAAAAAGGATGAAAAGTGATCCTATTCAATTTAGCATAGGTGCTGCACAGTTGTGTGTTTCAGTAGGGATTCAAGTCTCCTGGGAGTAGGAGAGTGATGTTTTAGCTCCAAAATTGAGCAGGTCTCCTTCCTAAGAAGAAGGGACAATCTATCTGCTTGATTTCTCTGCCTAAATCCAGTGAAAGACGAAATATAACAGGAATACTTCCCTGTGCGTGCGTTTGGCTGGCTCTAAGCAATCTAGTGCTCAGTGGAATGGCTGCATTGGTTCTGTTCTGAAGTAGGTGAGTCTCCTTGATCACAGCATGTTTCTCATAATGCTGCATTTCCTCCTGGCCGATCACAGTGCCTAAGACCTTTATTGTAGTGCTAGTGATTTTCTGTGCTAGTGATGACTTATGAAGACTACATTTTGGTGGAATGAGCTTGTCTTTCTGT